GTGGGGTCTGCTTCGCAGTGGGGGAAGGTGGAGTCGGGCAGGCTACCTTGGCAACGTCTCTCTGCTGGCTCTAAATGGTGCCTGAGCCTAATGCTGCGTACCAGCCCCTACCGACATCATATAAACTACTACTTTGAGTGCCGTCGCTCTTCAGAGCTCATGAACCAGAGATTTCCAAAAACCCTCAACCGTCCGATTCATGTGCATCAGCACTGTGGAAGAAGCGAGAGCCATCTCATCGTTCTCTTCATTGCGAGCTTAGTCCATGGATGTTCAGTTCATGCTCGTCGCCGGGGGAAGCTCGATAGTGAGAACCATTAAAGCATGAAGAGCGAATCACCCAACACATAAGGTTCGGGAGAAACCACGCCGGAGACTGACACGTGCGACACCAGTGGGTGGGACGAGCGACACAGCAGACTATCATCAACCCACAAGAAGTCCAGCAAGAAGCTTTCTGAGCTGGACCCAGAAGCCGACACATCTAAGCGAATTCACGAGACAGGCGGCTTTGAAGTAAAACCAGTCCTTTGTGTCGCCTGCCGCCAACCTGGTCGTAAATAGGGAGGGCATGAACGACAGCATTATCAGCACATCAAATGGGCGTGAAGCCATGATTCTGACCATGGTCACGGTGAGCACGCTGCGCACCGAGCAGTAAGCAAGCTGACCACTGGTGACTAGTGGTCTCCAAGCGCTTGCTGTACAGTGCACATGCAACGGAGGAGCGTACCTATTAGTGAAGCAAACCTGATCTCAGGATCTGGCAACGCGCAGGTCTCTTCAGGCTATGTAGTCGCATGTAATCGCAAGCCAAGTTCCGCCAGCAGCCTGTTGAGAATCTCTTCGGAAGCCCAGCTGAAGAGCCCAAGACGGGCAATGCTGTGTTGGAAGTGCAAAAAAGTTTGGTACTCAGATGTACTCCGGCGCCCCATGCAAGAAGAACAACCACTGTCCATTGAAACCGGCTGAGGTGACCTGGCCCGCGTACAGGAGCAGCTGCGCAAGCTTCCATGTCAGGTGAAGGCGGCGTCATGCGTTCGATGTGATTGAAGTGGGGTTTTGCGGCCAGTACGATCTTCTGCTCAGGCAGGTGGTCCTGCAGATCCAAAGGTTGCCCTACTTGCTCACAGTCGCACGCTCAGCGCTGAAAGGGCGCAACCAAACCAGCGGACGTCCTTCTGTGAGCATCTCAGGTGACGTCGCTGACATGCACAAGAAGCTTCGTGGGATCATGGCAGAGGTGACATGCTGCAATGGACAATCGTTTGCTTGAGAGTTCGACGGTCATTTGTGCCAGATGGGCGGGCCTGTGTTTCCGGCATTCGCCAGGGCCCAAGCAAACGCTTGAGGCTATGTAGTCGCATGTAATCGCAAGCCAAGTTCCGCCAGCAGCCTGTTGAGAATCTCTTCGGAAGCCCAGCTGAGGAGCCCAAGACGGGCAATGCTGTGTTGGAAGTGCAAAAAAGTTTGGTACTCAGATGTACTCCGGCGCCCCATGCAAGAAGAACAACCACTGTCCATTGAAACCGGCTGAGGTGACCTGGCCCGCGTGCAGGAGCAGCTGCGCAAGCTTCCATGTCAGGTGAAGGAGGCGTCTGGCGTTCGATGTGATTAAAGTGGGGTGTTGCGGCCAGTACGATCTTCTGGTATCTGCCAAGGTTGCCCTACTTGCTCACAGTTGCACGCTCAGCGCTGAAAGGGCGCAACCAAACCAGCGGGCGTCCTTCTGTGAGCATGCACAAGAAGCTTCGTGGAATCATGGCAGAGGTGACATGCTGCTATGGACAATCGTTTGCTTGAGAGTTCGACGGTCATTTGTGCCAGATGGGCGGGCCCGTGTTTCCGGCATTCGCCGGGGCCCAAGCAAATGCTTGAGGCTATGTAGTCGCATGTAATCGCAAGCCAAGTTCCGCCAGCAGCCTGTTGAGAATCTCTTCGGAAGCCCAGCTGAGGAGCCCAAGACGGGCAATGCTGTGTTGGAAGTGCCAAAAAGTTTGGTACTCAGATGTACTCCGGCGCACCACACAAGAAGAACAACCACTGTCCATTGAAACCGGCTGAGGTGACCTGGCCCGCGTACAGGAGCAGCTGCGCAAGCTTCCATGTCAGGTGAAGGCGGCGTCATGCGTTCGATGTGATTGAAGTGGGGTGTTGCGGCCAGTACGATCTTCTGCTCAGGCAGGTGGTCCTGCAGATCCAGCTTGGGCGAGATCCCAAAAGGAAGTCTGTGCTGCACATTGCAGTCGGCAGTTTGTTGGTCATGCCTATCCAATCCTATCCAGGTCATTGCCTGAGAGGACACGCGTGCCAATGTGCAGGCAGGGTGGGGTGCGGTGGGGGGGGGTGGGTGGGGTGGGGTTGGGGGCGGGTGTGCGGGCTGAACCCAGACACGCATGGCCGGGGGCTCGGCGGATTGCAGCAAGTTTAGATTCAGATGATTCGGTGGAGAAACACATGAGCAATGAGCCTAGGACCTTTGAAAACCACGTCGCAAGCCCATCATGTTTTGCACAGCAGGAACGGCGGGTTGGGATAGGAGGATGGGGATGGACTGTCCCTTCCATCAACACCAACCAGTCATGTGGGATCCACTTCCCTGTTTACATGACGTGCTGATATGCTACATCCGCGTCACTCTCGACCCGACTCTCGCCGACTTAAGCGCGGCCCTGCAGAGTCAGGAAAAGCCACAATCGGAAACCGACAATCCAGTCGAAACACAAACTGGAGCCGATCATAAAACGAAGAGGCAACCAATCGCAGGTACTCTTGAATCTGCGTTTTAAGTCCTCTGCCTTGACAGACATGCATGCAATTTCCGACCCCTCTTGCGATGCCAGGCCAGCCACGTGGGCCGCAGTACATCAGTGCCCCAGCACATCAGGGGAGTCTCATTTTCCAGTGCGCAGCAGGGCAGTAACAAGTCCCAGTGGAAAGACATCTGTCGCTGCACACCTGCGCTGTTCACATTGACTGACATCGCCACCTGGGATTGAAGTATACTGCATCTTGCGATGGCCTTGGCTCATAGGGCACCATAATAGACAACATCCGAGCACTAGAGCCTGTCACGGGATGTTGCTCTTGCTACTTTGGGGCCGGACCCAGCATGTCGCAGGTAACCAGTCTGCTGCAAGCGCAAGGGCGGCCAGTTGGACACACAAACACCCATGCAACTGCACCTGCATTCTGGATCACCCGACGAGCGGCGCGCAACTCCCGAAGACATCTGCGTCAAGCAGTGCACCGGCCTGAGCGACGCCGATGACTGCAACTACCGCGACACTCGTTGCTCAATTTGTCTGATGAGGGTCCCGTCATGACGATGACCTTGATGGTGATGTTTTTGCAGCCGAGGAGTCTGAGAAGGGAAAGGCGGTGGACCAGTCGGAAGCGGAGGCCCTCTGCGAGTCTGTGCCATTCAGCGGCCCTTCAGTAAACGCAGCACCGCCGTCGTTTTGCCAGCGTCTGATACCCGACGTTGCCTTGCAGGAGGGGAGGCAGCCTGTCTTCGCAGATCTGCTTGCTCCATCTGAGCCTGCTACAGCACAGGCGACTGGATCCCCAAGGTTTGGGATTTCAATCAAAAAGCTTCAACCGGCGCCCTGAATTCAATTTACGTAGCCCGTGTCCCACTGATTTGCTTCGCATGTTGAAGCAGGATCAGTGACTGGCAAACTTGCTTGCATGTGGTTTTGTGCTGCTCTGCGAGCTCTGCCTGACCGATTCACGCTTGTTGTGGATGGAGCGAACATGTGGGAAATGTCAGTACTTTCGGCGTGATTTCTGAGATTGTTTAGCATTTTTCAAGCCTTTGTTTGACTTGTTTGAATGTGGCTTGTCACACAGGCCTGCAGTCATACAGGCTTGCACAGTATCGATAATCCCGTGCCGACACCCCTGCAGTCTAATGCTGAGGCGGGGTTGTGATTCTGAGATATGGAGATTGAACAAGCAAGATGAAAGTCCATGTCGGGACAGGCGGCTGTCGAGCTCATTGCATGCTCTCCGACAACAACTCCATCAGGCCTTGCCGCGGCTGGCAGCAGAGATGCCTCGAAGCGCCCGCTGACAGGGCAAACTCGGAACCCACGTTGGTCTCGTGAAGCTCTCAAGCTGCGACCGCCCGAACGTCTTCGCTGAAACGACATTCGCTGATTTCCCTCTTGATGAACGGCTTCGAAGAGGATTGGAGGCGAGAGGATCGGAGCCGACCGAGTGCAAGAACGCCAGCAGTGTCAGGCTGCCCTCGGGAAGTCGTACGTCACGCCAGTGCAGCACGAGGTTTTGTCCCGGCACCTGCCAGACAAGGACGCTCGTAGTGTGTTGTGCACCAGTGCCGAGCAGCCCTTCGCGATTTCAGTGTCAGGAGCAAAGCGCCCGGCAAGCTGACCTACTGCTGCAGGTCGCGACACTTCTGCAGACTCGCCGAAGTTACGTGTACGGCGACGTACTCCAGGCTCCGACTGGCACGGGTAAGACAATCGCCTTCCTGCTGCCAGCGTTGCAGCGACTCCTCCTTCTGGAGGAACGGGTGCATGTGGGATCATGTGGCATGAGGGGTGAGCGAGGCAAGATTCATGCTTTGGGCCCCGCCACCGCAGAGGATGCCAGACGAGCTGGAAAAGCCGCGCCAGAGGCTTGCGGCTTGCTGATAGCTTCTGTGCTTCTGCATCCCGAGTCGGAATGTTCCAGAGGGCGTCCTGACGCTGGTGGTGGCACCGACAAGGGAGCTCGTGCTGCAGTCAGCCCTGGCCCTGGCGCAAGCACACCGAAGTGCGGCGGAAGCGGGTTTTTTGAGTCGATGGCCAATGGCTCGGATAGCTGAGGCCAAGGTCGCGAGCCGACTCTTGCAGTTCAGCGGTGGCCAGGTTCGGAGCTCCTTCGTGGCCGGCAGCTTTTCTCTTGAGGCCAGGGCCATGATACCGATGGAACGCCACCGCCATGCCACGCGCTCTCTCGGCTGTCTTCGTCAGGAAGACATCAACCGCCTCAGGGAAGACATGCCGCAGCTTCTTTTCGCAACTCCCTGGCGTTTGGTCCGCGCCTCGGAGCTGGAGCTGCAGCTGCGCTCCTCTGCCGCTCCGCCGCCCCGCAGCCCCGCAGCTTTTTCGCATCCGATCGCAAGGCCCATGGCGTAGTTCAGGCCGAAGCATTGCGTGGACCTTGCGGGGACATGCCGCAGCATGGCACGCCGCTCGTTGAGCTGAAGATGATGAGTGGAGACTCGCTTTGCCTGGAACTTGCAGCGACGGCGCTTATACAGGATCTGAAGTCCGAGGTGTTCCGCTTGAGAGGGATACCGCCTGATTGCCAGCGAATCTTGCAAGGATCCAAGGCTCTTAGTGATCTGAGTGAAGTCCAGGACGTTTGTACTCCGGGTTCCGAGCCACTGAGCTTGGTCGTATGCTTGGATCACATTCTGCAGAACCTGGAAACTGACAGTATTCTGATCACGATTCGAAGCTTGGATCTCTTAAGTCGGCTCCTTCCGGCCGCAGGAAGTCTTGAGGTCTTTCGGAGCTACTTGACACATTCACACGAAGATGTGCGGAGGACGGCTATGCGTGCCCTTTTGCGCAGCCTCCCGACTGAGGAGACCACTCTGCTAATCTTGCAGGGCATCAAGGACCAGAGTGGTGAGGTCCGACACGATGCCATGGAAGCACTTCGCACCGCGGCTTCGACGGCTTTACTCGGCACCCAAGCGGAGCATGCTGCGCTGCGTGCTGCGCTTGACGGTTGCATGGACGTCCTTGTGCCAGTTCGCATTGCTGCTGTCCGCGCACTGCAGGCCCTTGTGGTGCCTGGGGTCAATAGCCAGTGCATCCCTGAGCTTCAGGCCCGCGTGGGCGATTCCAACTCCCTTGTGCGAGAGGAAGCCCTGGACGCCCTTCGCCAGCTTGAGTCTGAGAACATGATCGCACCGGGAAGCGTGGCCGAAGCACTGGAGAAGCTGGAGTGCAAGGAGTGGGACACATGGCTCTGGGGTTTGCGAGCAGGGAGGCTCTCGCTGCAAGAGAGAGCCTGGAAGATCCTGGATCGTCTGGGCGCTGCCCAAAAGGCCCAAAATGCCGAAGCGGTCGAGGTGGAAGTGCTGGAAGGCATCGCAGTGGAGTCGAAGTGCGATTTGATGGTTATGTTGTGTGACGCCTTGCGGGAGCCTTTACCTGAGCGCCTCCAGGGCGGCTCCGAGCTCTTCGAGAAGACTTTCAACTGCATTGCTGCCGCTTTCGGAGATTCCTCTGCTCGAGTGCGGGGCAAAGCGGCAGAAGTGTTGCTTGTGTGTTGCAAATGTTGCAGGCATGAGGCCATCCATGCAGTGGCTCCTTCGCCCCTTGCGGCCCTTGCGCTGCTGACGAAGGGCCTAGGGGATGCCTCGCTGGGCGTGCGAGAGAGGGTCGCAGAGCTGCTTTCAGAGCTGCTGGACGCGGGCGCATCGGACGCTGAGGGACGTGCCGTGTTGGAAGCCCTCAAGAAGCTCCTCTCCGAGCGCTCCGGGCAGCAGCCGAAAGTCTCCCGGGCCATCTCAGTGCTCGCAGTGCTCGAACGCTTGGGCCCTTCTTTGGGCGCTTTTGCAAAGGAGGGGCTGCAGCTTGCTGTTTCCTTACTGGAAGATCCTGCTCCGGATGTTCGCGGAGCTGCCTTGGTTGCCATATCAAAACTCGACACCTTCGGCACGGTGTCAGCCAAGGCTGTGCAAGCTTCTTTCTGTGATCCGGATGCTGCTGTTCGTAGTGTTGCTTGGGCTTTGCGAGAGACTTTGCCCTCTTCTGGTGACAACATTGACGTCGACGCTTTCGTGTCCGGTCTCGGAGGGTCTGTAGACTCCCGCTGCCTGCGGGACTTTCTGCAGGAGGCCAGGCCCACATGGAGTGAGAGAGAGCTGAGTGCTGTCTTGATAAAGCTCCAAGAGGTGGGTGTTACGTCCGTCGCAGAGCTCGAGCAGTCTTTGCCCAGAATGAACACGCTCTTGTCCACAGCTGGACTACGTTGCTTCAGTAGAGAGACGTTGAGTTTGCTGAGAAGCCATCTTGTAGAAAAGGGGCGATGACGTGCCTTCTGCCTTCTGCTTACTCGCAAATCCCCGAGAGAGTTGTTGTTTCGTGCCATGTCGTGGCACCAAGGCGCGTCATCTCCAAACCACGCCGCACTTTGTGCAGGCCTCGGAGTTGAGGGCAGGCTCCCAAGCTGAGCCAGGGGCGCCTCGTCGGCCTCTGGGGCCTCTACTCCTCAGTTCTCTCTCTGTCTCTCTCGCTCTCTCTCGCTGCTCCCTGTCGCGTCGAGAGAGACGTGAGATAAGTACAAACGACGGTGCGGATGCACCATTTCTTGATCACGATCCGGCAAGTCAACGTCAACTCAGGCTCTTCCGAGACCGCCTGCCTTTCCGACTTCTAGCAAGTAACGGATTCACTTCGACTTGTGCTTGAAGCCTAGGGAGATTTGCAGTGGCACCGATGTTTTCGACTGCAGCAGCGATGGTACCACGGGGTGTTTGCGTCGTTTCAACCCAAAGCAGCAATTCCAGCTCGTTTTGTTGCACTTTGCGGTGGATCTGAGGTGAGTGCGTTGCAGTCAGTGGACCTGCTGGTCTTAGATGAAGCAGATCGTCTGCTCGACCCATCTTTTGTCTACAAGGCATTGAGGGTGCCTTCATGTCGGATTTCCTACCTGCAGCTCTCAGCAGGTGGACTATCTCATCCGGTGCCTTCCAACTCCAAGGCACGACATTTCGTCCTGAGTTGAAGGAGCAGCTCCGCTCTGTCTTGAGAAGGTAGGTCATGTCGGCTACAGTAGGTGGCAACTTTGTCTCAGATGCAGGCCCCGAATGGTTCTTTGCTCAGCCACGCCGGGGGCCCAGAGGAGACGCTCCTTGCATCTGAGCACTGCATAGCACTGCATGAGCCTGTGTCTGATGTCTCGTTGCACAGGTTCAGCGAGCCCCTGCGCAAGTTCGCCATTCGATCACTTCGAGCGAACCTGGAAGTGCCGCCTGGCTTGCAAGTGCTGGCGATGTCGCTGGTCTGTCTTGGCCGCGATGTGCCTCGCAGGATCCGCCTGGGCTCGAAGGAGAGAGAGCCTGCCCGAGCCGCTGCCATCCCTCTGCTCCGCCTAAGCCGCCTAAGCTTTCTGCAGGAGCCCTCTCCTGGACAGGCCGGTGCTGGCGCAGGCATTGGGTTCTCATGCTAGACCCCCGGAAGGCGAGCACCGAAGTCGCCGAAGTCGCAGCTCCTGTGCAACAGGCGAGGCTCGAAGTCGGAAGATTCGGAAGGTGCAAGACAGGGCAGGAGATGGCAGGAGGTTTCTGACTCTGAAGGTACTTGTCCGGTATAAGGCCGAGGAGTTCCTGACCACTCTTCATGCCACACTGGAGCGAGAGATGGGCCAGGAAGGCACGGAATTGTGTCTATGAGTCACAGATCGATGCTGTCTGGGTGGCACTTTCAGGGCAAATGCGCCGGGTGCTGGTGGTCTTTCCTACAGTGCGCTGGCTCCAGTCCGCATCCCGAACTGTCGCTCACCCAACCTGGGTGTGTCTCCAACAGCTGCCCTGAGGTTCTTCTACGTCCTTCTAAAGCATCGGGCCCACATGCCCAGAGCTTATTACGGGGCTGGTGAGCGAGGTGTGGCAGCGATGATCTATACTCGTAGCTGGAGTGTTCGTCAGCCAGTGAACCTGCACTCGACACAACAACAATCAACGGCATCCGCAGGGGGGCACAAACCTCATAAGTGGGGACTATGGCACTGCACGGGTGCATCTCAAAGAGCCCTAACGAATGGTTCCTTGCATCAAATGAAACAATGGAAGACTCGGTTACGATCAGGTGGGTTTCTGCTGAGGGCTGCTTTGGCGCGGTTCACACCGAGTGTGCTGCGAGTATTTGCCGCAAGGGAACCGGCCGACCGTAACAAGAGCCGTGTAACAGAAACCTGCCCCGACATCGTAACGTAAAATCAGCTGGTTCCTGTAACAGCGGATAGGGCTCAGGTACGGTGCAGGGTTTCGTAGTTCGCGGAAAAGGTTCCACACAGGCATTAGCATGCTTTGCGCTTTAGAGCCCTTACGGTGTTTGAAGCGTCCTCCTTGGCCTGCCCCTGGGGGACCTTTTTTTGCCCCTACATTGCGAACATAAACGCCTGCCCGGTGTCCGGTCTGTTAAGCTGGTCGTTTGGTTGCTGCTGCCGCGGCCGCCGCCCGTTTCTGCTACGTACAAGTGTGCGAGATCGGTTTCCGCACCCACTCTGCTGCGAAGGCAAAACGGAGGTTGATAAAAGCACAAGAAGTTGAACTTGCCCGAGCATGCTGGCACTATACAGCCCCAAGCTTCAAAATAGCCGGGCAGACTGTTCCGACACAGCTTTGAATCGGTTTGCTTCGTTGGCTCGTGAGTGTTCCGTGGGAACTGTCGTGATGAGTGTGAGGTCCGGACTTTTCGCCTTGCATCGAAGCCTCTCCGATGATCGGCGCCGGGCACGAGCGCTTCGCTTCTCCAAGGGCGCCGGAAACCCGGGCAAAGCGTCCACATCTTCCACCTGGAGATGGCTCGAGAGGGATCGGCCGAGGCTCCGGCGAGCCGGGGTGCGTTGTTCGCGACGGACCTGGCCTCTCGGGGCATGGACTTCGTCCACTGCTCAGGGTATCAGCATCCTCATGGCCTCTCGTGGCCGCTTGGTTGCTGCAGAAAGAGCCTCGCTCCGAGGATGTGCACGCGGTGATCCAGGCCTCGGATCTGCTCAGCTCAGCATCCCACACCCAGTGAGCTGTTCCATAAGTCTGTTGTAGATGCAGCCAAATCCCTATGCAATCTTCAGGTGGGCCCTCCCAGCGACCGTGAGCAGTACGTCCACCGAGCCGGCCGAACAGGAGAGAAGAGCACCCCACCGCGCTCCCGTCTTTTCCTAACGTCTTTGTGCAGCTCCCCTTGGCATATTTGGTGCTCTTTGAAGGACGGCTTGCATCGCAAGGGCGATCTGTGCTTTTGCTCAACCCCGTGGAGCTGATGGTGCTGAAGGCGGCCTCCTTCGGACGAAGCCAGACTTCAGCGTGTACTGTTTGGCAGGAACTGGGAACCTTCGAGGAGGAGCAGGTGCAGGCACGGCCCCTACGACATCGGGATTCCCCCTTGCATCAGTGTTTGACACAGTATCCTTTGAAAGCACTGCCGGACGCCACCTTTTGGATTGTGTCCTACGTGCGTGGCCGTGGCTGGCGTGTGTTTTCAGGCGACAACGCACTTCATGCTGGCTCGGTGCAACATGGAATTCAAACTCTTCTTCCGTTAGCGTAGAGGCGTAGAGGAACAGCATTCAGTTCGGTTCTGAATGCCAAACCACTTGTGCAGGAATCCTTTGCGTTTTGAAAACCTGGACGCTCTCGTATTGCGTTGTGAAGCTTCAATGAAGGCTTCTTTGCGTGCATTTCAGAATTGAACGACTAGCAGCGATATGGAGCGAAACATAATCAGAAGTCATTCTTCCCAGGGAACTCTAAACAGACTGAGTAAACGGAAGCAACACAGGCTTTGATATGTCAAGGGGCGGTCAGCTTGAATGCTCTCAAGCGCTTCCAGCATGTCTCCCTCGCGTCCGAGGCAGCACGACAAGCAACAACCTGTCTGCAAAACAGGGAAGTGTCGGTGCAGCACGACAACACTGTCCTCTTGGATGGCCTTGGGACTTGGTAGCGATGAGTAGGAGCCTCACCTACTTTGTCAGTGGTGTCACGGCAAACGGTAAACAGAAGCAGTTTGGTGATGCTTTGGAATGGTTTGAAGACGACAGCCCAGTGCAGACCACATGCTCGGACCTGGATTCAGGCCTCCGCCTGCTCTCATCAAGCGCTGAGCAGCATGCATGGTTGGTGGGAGGACGGGGTGATCGAGTCTGTTGTCACTAGGGAGACTTATTCTTCCGCTATGCCTGAGGATGCCAGCTTGTCGGCCTCCGGTCACCTTTTCTTCGCCAGCGCGATTGCATTCTACTTGAATGAAAGCCAGCGTCTGCGTGCACCTTGCCTCTATGTGTTGACGGGAGTTGTACTTACGAGCAAGCCGCTGTCAAACAGTTCCTGACACTCCTAACGACGAGTCTTGGTGGAATTTCTGTTGAAACAAGTGCGTGACATGCCACCGCTTCAGTCGTGTTTTGCAATTTCCCACGAGTGAGGCCAGGGCAGTGGATGTGGCACGGCTGGCCTGTGTTGCGCATCACTACTGCTCTGCAGAGGTCGTCGTGATTCGCTTTGGAGCACACATTGTGGCAGGTGCAGACGGTGGCTGCCTTGCTCCAGTCAACGGGGTTGCCTCAGGACATGTCGAGCCCGAAGAAAGAGAGAGAGAGAGAGAGAGAGAGAGAGGGAGACACTGTCAGCTAGTTTTCAGCTTGCTCGCTCGCGGCCCGGGCCTCAGGGTGTTTGCTTCTTTCTGCCAGCTGATCCCCAGGGGTACCAGCCCAACAGGGGCACACACTTCTAGTACAGCCGAGCCCATCCATTGAAAATAATGGATGGGGCAGCGCACTCGCGCGGGACGGGAGGGCTGCTCCCGCCCCATGCCCAAAGCAAAGCAAAGCAAAGAGGGAGACAGAGAGAGAGGGCGAGGGGGGCTTGCCCTTCTTGCCCCGAGCCCTGGCGAAAGAAAGAGAGAGAGAGAGAGACACTTTCTAGTCTAAGCCTATGGTTGGTTGCTCGGGGACCGCGGCCAGCATGGAACAAAGCTTTCACACATGAGACGCACAACCAGTGCGCGCACGCGCGCAGAGAGGGGTGCACTGCCCTTCTCTTGACTGTGTGGAAGAAGACACTTTCTAGGTCTCCCAAAAGTTCTCCCAAACGCCCAGCAGGCAAGCAAGCAAGCAAGCAAGCAAGCAAGCAAGAGACTTTCTAGGTAGGGCAACCATATCTTTTTACCGGCATGCACGAGTTCTTTCCATTCAAGGCCGTGCGGGAAGCCTCGACAGCTCCCTTAGCCCCGGACAACAGCAGAACTTTCTAGGTAAGGGCGTACGTCAATCAGAGCTAGAAAGTCACGTCCAGACAGAAAAGCAACCAGACCAGCAGAGAGGGGCACACCTTTGGAGTCTTGCCTTTCATGATGGATTGCCGTCACAGATCTTTAACGGGGCAAGCTGGTAGGACCATGAAGAGCCGCCCCAGGAAACACATTGGACATGACTCTGCACACCAAGAAAGCCAACAATGAGCAAGAGAGCTCAACAGACAAGGAACTAGACGATCAATCTTCTGAAGTGAGCTCAACAAATTACGGGAAGAACTGTCAAACCTCGCAAACCAACACTCCAGGCCGTGCAACTCCAGCAACCCACAGCGCACAAATCCACAAACGCAGCTTCTGGAAGGGCTTGGTGTGTAGGAACAACGAAATCCGCAACCAAAGCTTTTACAAGGGTGTTTTGCGCAGGACCGAAAACACAAATAGCAACAACGACCACAATAGCCATTAGCCAACAACAAGCGACATCACCAAAAACCAAGAATAATCAAAAGCACCAAAAACCAAAGCCAACAAGCCGTGATACCGTATTTGCGGTAGCCAAGTATTTGATTATTTAGTGTTTGGAGTTACTTGGGTCTTTGCTTATGATTTCTTTGGTGTTGTTTTGACTCTTTTGGAGAAACACAGGTTCCGCTTTAGTCGGCAGAAGAATCCGGCCGCGAGGACTATGGTCTACCTGCCATCCCTCGTGGCCTTGCTGCGGCAGCACTCAGCATTCCGTGGTTAGTCGCGCATTCCACGATATGCCGGTGTCGTTCGAGATGACGGCTGGCGGATGCCCAGGCGAGACTGCGCGAAAAGGCTCAGGGCCGAGTGACGTTGCGTAGAGTATTCGACACATGTACGCATCAAGATGGGACGTACCTATGTCACTCGGGTCAGGACGAGCTCGTGGCAGTTCGTACTGAGACGGTGCCGCATCAAGCAAGTTTCAGTGAACATAATAAAGGCTTTAAGCGTGCTGGGAGCCGCTTGGAAACAGAGGTGACAGGCCTTCCTTGCAGCCCAGGTGCGCGAACGGTGGGACGTTCTATCGGCCCTTGGGCCTGGGACAATGAGAAAAGCTGCAACCAATGCAACGGAGAAAGCTGGGACAGCAGCTGAGAGCGAGGCGACACAGTGGGTGATCGAAGGAAAAAACAGAAACCGCATTTGGCTTCGAGAGACTGTGTCTAGCCAGCACCGTGCTTTGGCGGTACGGCTAAAGGTTGGCAGATTTTGGTATATGCCGTGTCAGCCTTGGCAGATCGAAGCTGAGCTGGAGAATGAGTAGCCCTTGCTCCATACAGCCCCCTGGTGATGGAGGAAGCAGCACGTGGCTTGAGGGGGAGGGGCACGAAAGAATGGTTCCTGGTGTCCAGGAGCCTTTGTTAGCGATTTGCCGGACAAGCTTCGAGCTGCCTGAACGGAGTAGCGAGATCAGGCACCGGGCACACGTTGAAATTGGCAGCCTGACGCCTTGAAGTCTGCAGAGGTGGAACTTGTGGAGTCCGAAGGACCGTTCATGGTTGGAAGAGCTCAAGGAGCTCTGGCAGGCTCTGGCAGGGGGGGGGCTCTTCACTTCTTGCTTAGGCGCTTGGCATTCCTGCCAGGATGCCGCTTCTCGTCTTGAGAGCACGCCGCCGCAGAATATGATTCCGCGTCGAATACATCAGCGCCTTGGCCAGTCTCGAAGCCGCGAATCATTTCACGTGCAGATGACGGCTATTCAGGATCTGGTTGGGCCCTCGCCAGTGGCCAGAGCCCTGCGAGCGCTTTGCAGGGGAATGGAAGGCCCGCCCGTGCCTCAGGAAATCCTTCCGGTGATGCAGTCGTCACCTCGGGGCGTTGGTCTGAACTATAAGGCCACCCGACATGGGAGTACCGCCTCTGGACGGACGATGATGCCGGGGAGGAGCTGAGAGGTCATCCGGGCCTCGCCAAGGCCCCCGCTCCCTTCCCTTCGCCCGTTCGCGCCGGTGGAGATGGTTTCAGGCCTATGAGGCAGCTGACAATCCCGCAGAGAAGAGCGACATTCTCCGCCCGGGCCACGAAAGCATGCTGACACATTTCCCACTTAATGTGCGGTGTGCACGCACATGCAGAGAGAGGTTTGGCAATCATTCTTCGTCATGGTGGTTTGTACGTCGACGTGGACTGATACTCTCCATCGCATGCGCCGTAAGTTGCAGGATGAGTGAAGGTCGCTAGTTCTTGACAGGACTTCGAGTGCTTGAAGCCTTTGGATGTGCTGCACAGCCGAGCCTCATTCTACTGCGGTCTCTCGAACGTAGTGGCCCCATTGTTGCCATATGTGCAACCAGGATGGAGAGAATTTGGTCCTTGAATCACTTGAGCTCGTCAACTGAACGAGGTCGGCGCAGTCGAGGTGAACAACGGCCTCTTCGCTGCTACCGCGGGGTGGGACTCGTTGGCTCACGGTGCCTCCTTTCAGCGAAGCTCATGTCATTTCTCTGGCAGGCATCCGCTGGTTTCCTACCTTTGCGATCATCTGGGAAAACCGTGGCCTGAGTGGGGACAGGAGCTGTGCAATCGGAAATCCTCAGAATCAATCACACTCTCGTCGGACCATCGCTGCCGACGGTAAAGCTCAAAGGACGATGTTGACCCCAAAGAGGCTGTCGCATATCAGATCCAGAGGTGCGCCTGGCGCAAGTTCTCGTGTGAATCTCGGATTCGGTGGACGACGCCTGCCAGGTCTGGAATGCTAGAGATGCCATCTCTGCAGGCTGGTGGCCAGGCAGGACACAACAGCATAGGTGGTCTCCTGTGGATTCTGCTCTGTCCATGCCTGAGGCCGCGTTTCTTGCCACCACCGGACCGGGATTCTTTACCCGTGGCCTTGTCAAAGGCTTGCGCTTGCTCAGAGGCAGCTGTGCTGTGCTGCCTCTTTCACTGGATCGGACTTTGAGAGATGGCTCGGGGTCCTGCAGTTCTGAAGGTCAGCGAGACCTGGGGCCTATGTTGGTGTGCCCACCGGAGGCACCATGTTGCATCATGATCACATGCCTACTCCCTACCTTCCGTTTCCAGGTTTTCTATCCTTTGCCCAATACGGAGCGGGGAGTGCCTGATGCGGAGTTTAGGCAGGTGCGTGTTGTATTGGGCCGCACTGATCAGCTAACGTTGGCGCCAGGATGCCGTCCTCGCTGGCGGTGCATCATTGGTTCAGGCATCATTCCACAAGCGTTGTAGTGGTTAGTAGACTGTATCCTTCACGGACGTTTACTTCCGAGTGAGTTTGGCATCATTGGTTTCTGGTCAGCGTCTCAAGCAGAATTTCTGTGCTTCCATACCTGGAGAGGACTTGGAGCGAAGCTGAGAGAACGGAAGCAGAAGAGAACACCGCGGTGCTGAAAAGAAGTGGGGCCTTCCTTCAGAGCGAAGGTTCGGCGCCCGAGGCAGCTGTGTCGCTGCACAGCAAACAGCTTTTGCATTTCCCCGCGCGGCCGGGTGGTGTCGAATGATCAAGTAAACTGAATACTGTAGACAGCATCCAACGTCGCTCACCGCAACCATGATGAAGCACGTTTGACTAGCAGCTGGATAGGTTCGTCAGTCGTAAGACAGAACTGATTGTTGCTTATTGTGCGCGGCTTCAGCTGCACTTAGTGTCCCCTGCGAGCTTCAGCGCCAGATCGTCGGGCACTCAGCGATATCTCGAAAACAGACAGAGCTAGCAGCTAGACGCAGTGCGAAAAGCTTGCTTGCAGCGTGAGGGCGCAATGATGGCCTGCCGTGGCGGAGGCAGGCAGACGATGTGGAAGGAACGGCGCGTAGGAGACGTGCCTCATGACCTTCTCGAGGATTCCTCGCCTTCCTGAATCGCTCTCGGCAAAGGTACGAGGAGGCGAATCCAAACAAACAAGTTACATGCGATAAGTGCACGTGGGAATCCGGACATGACTTGCCGCTTGCGAGACACAAACATGCCGATGAAAAACTGGCTTCGGGTGTGTCTTCCGCCTTTCGCGGCCTCTCCGAGTCTCTTGCTCTGCTGGGAGGCTATACGGGAGGCCGAAGCCGAGAAGGTGGAGGCATTGGCATGCATTGGCACGGGGATCTGCCTGCAATCTTTGGAAACCGAGTCCATCGAAAGGTCCCTAAACAGCTTAAAAATCCTATTCTCCAGCCTCCATTCAATTCCCAGGGAGGCTCTGAAGAGATTGGTAGTTTAGGGACTTCTCAATATTCACAAAGAATGGAGAAGTCCCTAAAAACAAAGGTTTGAGCCTGTGTCTGCATGGAGCCGGAAGTGTTTTAGGGCGATGCTTTCGGCTTGCGACCTCACCAAGTATGGACGGGTCCCTAAAGCCATTGTTTTTCAGAGCCTTTCTGGGCATGGAGCTAGTGCTAAGAATAGTACGAATGCTAATACGAATATTATGTTATGCTAGCAGTATACTAATATTAAAGTGTATAATAAGACAAATACTAATTCTTGAAGGAATACCAATACTACTACTAACACTGACAGTGACACTGGTACTAACACTAGCACTAATCAACACTAACACAAATTTTCAGGCTACTACTACTACTACTACTACTACTACTACTACTACTACTAACACTGACAGTGACGCTGGTACTAACACTAACACTCATCAACACTAGCACAAATATTCAGGCTAATACTAATGCGAACACTAAACCAAGAATTGATACTACATACTAATACTAATGCTACCACAAAACTAGTTCTGCTTTATTCTAACACTATTACGAACACTATTACTAGCATTGAATCTGTATACTAATACTAACACGAAGCTAATACTACTACCGATCATGATGGTAACACTGAGGTTAAAATTGAGAACAAGATTCAGTCACGACTAAGATTAACATGAATACTAAGACGGTAAGAAGATTAAGATTCATACTAAGATGCGCATGGAAAGCAAGACTAGGGCAAACGTGCGCTTATCCAAGCAGATTTTTGCATGCAGCAGTATGGTCTCTGAGAGTAACATGCAGCAGGAAAGCAGAGATATGTCATCCCGTATAACATCATCGACCCTGTTTTTGAAACTCCGAGAAACGCATCGAGATTGTAGATAGTGTCCACGAATACGAAATTTAGCGATATATTTATAGGCTTTTCGGTTTCCATTTGTAACTACACACACACATGGGCAATCACATGGTCGAGGTTGGTTCTGGGGGGTTTGCCGTTTTTCTATATATATATATATACATATATATATATATATATATATTATATCAGTCCCTACAATTTGATCCTTAGGGCTTACACGGTTTAGGTTTTAGGGTTTACACGGCTTACAGCGCAGGGTTTAGGGCTTGTGCGGCTTAGTGTTTGGGCTGTACACGGTTTAGGGTTTAGGGTGTACACTACACGGTTTAACCACCGAGCATAGAAGCTGAACCCTCCAAAACGCTTTGTTTGCTTGATTGTGAGGTGCGTTTTTTTTTGTGCAGAACACTAAACAACAAACTTGTTAACATTAGGGCTCTTCGACCTAAAGCCTTAAAGTCCTAAAGCCCTAAACCTGGTTTCAACCCGTCTAAGCCATAAGCCCTAGACCCTTTTCGGGTTTTACAGTTTACCCTTTGAGCATCAGGCTTTAAGGTGTAAGGAACAAGCAGCAAAGTATCAAACAATTACTTGGCCTCGTGCTTGTTGGAAGGAGAAGCCTCCCGACTATTCTTAAGTCCAATACCCGAAACCAAGAAACTCATGTTAAAAAACACTTAAGTTTGTCGTGGCCTAAATCATGTCTTGCTTTCGTCTTCCTTCCCCATACATATGCCTGTCACTTCAATCAACCCCCAGGGCCCTAGGGCTTACACGGTTTGTTTGGGGTTTTGCACGGTTTAGGGTTTAGGGTTGACACGGCTGAACCACCCAACCCAACATCTCAATCCTCAAAAATGCCTTGTTTACTCTATTGTAAGGTGCCTGTTTGGTGCAGAACACTAAACAGCAAATCTTGCAGTTTACCTGCCTCTCAAACACACGACAACAGTAGATCCTGGCAATTACCAATAAAATCCCATAGTTTCCTGCTGCAGGTACTGTGTGGATATGTGTGTATGTACCTGTAGCATTGGACGCTATCATTGCTTGATGTCTTGAGGGTCAACTCTTCGACGGGAACGGGAGCTGCACTGGACTGTTTTTGGGTTTCTATTTGGGTGGCATGCGTGTTTTTCGCTCTTTCGGGTGCCGCTGCTTGGTGCTCCTTGTGACTTAAGATTTCGCATGTGGGAGAATGATGGCGTCCGTATGGGACCGCTCTGTCCAGACCTCCACAACACCCGTTCAGGAAAGTTTGGGGGAGGTCCGTTTGCAAGGAACACACAAGAGTGGTGCTTTGGCTATCTAGCTCTATTCGAAGGCCTTCCGCAAAACCCACGCTGGAAAGGGAGATGTGGGCGAGGAGGCTTTAGTGCTTTATTTTTGATTCTAGTTTGTAGTCCCTCCCGAGAAAGCAACGCTGGGGAACAGGGGCTGTGGCCGTGTTTTTGTTGGTTGTTTAGTTTTCGGGATGGCGGGTGCCGGGAAGCTAGCTGGTTTTATTTGTTCCGTTTTCTCTGCGTTTTCGGCTGCAGTGCTCTGATTGAGGAAACCTGTGCTGGGCCAGCGATCCGTGGGCGATGTTTTTGACACACACACACACACCCTTGCTTTTCAGGAAAAGTTTGGTGTTGTCACCCGTCCTTCTCAAGACTCACTTCCCAGTTTGTCGGTATGTAGACATTGTCATCCGTGTCAACCAAGCAGGCAGCAGCACATAACACGGTACACGTGAATCTGTGACATGACACCCAGATCTGCTTGGCCAGGCTTGCGCATCTCCCTTCGAGTGGGCTTAGAACTCAGCATCTTCCTGAAACAGTTGCAGTGTTTTGGTGGCGATGCGGCTATATGGGTTCAGGGTGTAGAGGTGTTGCAGCTGTTTTTGCACCCAGAGCTATTCTCTGACAACATGCCTCAGCCAACAACTCCATCATTAGCACGGCGCGAAGTCTTCTGCTTCGACGTTCAGGAAGGAATAGTCGCGGATCATGGGATCATGCTTGCGGGTTTCTTTGCGACCCTGCTCCTGTTGAGATGCGCGACGCCTACGTCGCATGGGCCTTGGTGCTTAGGCGTGCGAAGACGAAGAGTCCTCCCCAACCGAGCTGCCCCTTCCTGACGGGCGCTCAGATCAAGCATGCTTAGGAAGGCAAAGCACTGGTTTGGCCGTCTCGTTTTCATCTTGCAGATGCTCCTTGGGGAGAGACCTCGCTGGCACCCAGGACAGCACGGAAGAAGCCTCGGACAGGCTCGTTGCGCCACCCCGAAGTGCACTGGCCTCCGTTTGGCTGGTATCCTTCAGGAGCGATGTGGCAGAAGCTCTGCAGGACCTGCCCGAGGTGCCGCACGGCACTGGTGGAATGCACTTGGGTTTCTGGCACTTCGGAATCTTTGGAGACGCTGAGCCTTTCACACTCTCTCACAGGCCTCTTCTGGAAGGCTTTCGAGGACACTTAATGTGGACCTAAATCGTGGGAATGCGGCTTCCTTGCTTCTCCTAATTCGCTTTCTCAGCTTCGTTTTTCCAAGGGTTTTCTTGTTCACGGGCCTCGGCTTTCCAACAAGGTCGTGAAGTGCCCCAGCTGGGGCAAACCAAAAGCCCTCAAGACAGGCAATAAACAGAACTTGTATCGTTTTTTGAGTCAATGGACCGTAGCAAGGGTGACCATAAGGTACATGCCTTCATCTCTGGTGTGTAGCCCTCCTCAGTTTCCGTCAATGAAGAGAAGCGCAAGAATGAAATGCATGGCTCTCCCTTGTTCTCCTTCAATTGAGGGCGAACTCAAGACGAGTGATTCTCTTCTGTTTTCCTGCAAGTAAGGGCGAACAAAAGGTAGATGTAGTACATGGCCCTTCCCTTGTTACCCTTCAATTAAGGGCGAACCTAAGTTACATGGCCCTTTTCTGTGTTCCTTCAGTGCGGCATCAAACTTTGGCATCTTCAGCAATCTTTCAAAAGCAGCCAGCAACAGTCTTTCAAACGCAGGCGGCAACCAATTTGCTGCAGCAAATAGTGCTATCCTCACCAATCTGTAAGTAGCAAGAGCAGCAACGAGCTTCGGTTTGGGGATACCAGCAGTCCTTCAAAAGCAGCCAAGACTAGTTCCCGAGAATTTTTCCGTAGCAGGCAGTATGCAACTCTAGCAGCAGCCCAAGCATAAAGTTTCGGTCAAAGCCCAGGGACCAAACCCGATGCAATTTCTAGACAATGAGGTCTGGAGCAGGTTAGGGTAAGGGATCAGAGAATTTTGTGGATGCGGAGGCATCTTCCGAAGACTGTTGCTTGTGCTTCTGAGTCAATGGAAACATAGGGGCACACGGGGTTTAGGGTTTCAAAGTTCATGTCTATCCATCGTGTGCGACAACGCTAAGTGTTCCGTCGGGCATGGGGTCTTGACATGCACACAGCGCAGCTTTCCAAGCAACGATGCTTGTGAGGGTGGACACGGAGCTGGACGGGGCGGGTGCAGGCTTTGTTCCCGGCATAGACTCATAGACGATGCTGGCTTGCATGAGCCGGAAAACGATCCTGTCAATCAGCAATTCGAGGACTCATGCAGCAGCGCTGTCAGGGACACCGGCTGTCAGTCAGCCGTGCCAGAACTGAAACGATGCTGGTGGCCTCGGGCGTCTCTATTCCAAAATGAATTCAAAACAAGGCCGACAACAATCGGGTCTCACTGCCCCGGCGGGTTTTTACGGCATGTTACCTGGTCGGCCGCCCAGACGTGCGAGCGGGTCGGTGAGGCACATGGAGGGACCTAACTCAGCTACCTCAAAACTGACGCACAGAGACAGCATCAAGAGAAGCGGCTTTGCTTCTGACCACCATAAGCAGGAAACGTGTGAAGCGCGAGCGCTTAGAAGCGTGATGTCTCTTCATGATGGTTTCGTCTTGTCGTCAAATCGTCGTTTGTCTAAGTCAGTCGAAGAAGACTCCTTGGGCATCATGCTGAGAGAAGCGCGCGGACAGACCCTGCAGCACAAAAGCCGGCTGCTTGTGATTGCCAGGATGGTTGCGAGGCGGAAGGAGAGCTTCGACTGCCATCTGCAGACCCATCGTCCCAAGAGGCGAAGGCACAGCTGGGTCGTTGCTGCTTCGCATGTATTTGTGCATGGTCGCTCTCGCAGGAAGTCTCGCAGGACAACGCCAAAGCAACGCTGGAAGATCCGCCGGAGAACGTGCAGGCCCGCTCGTGGGTGCTGAAGTGCCAGCTGAATCTCTGAAAGCCAAGTCTTGCGGGGCAGATTATGCCGGCCGGGGCCCCGCTGAAAGAATACGCAGTATACCACTCAAAGTCCACCTGAATTAAGTAGTATAAACCCTCGAGAAATCCTAGCTCTTCTAGGAATTGCAGCCATGAGAACTAGAGCGGCCACATCTAAACCACAAACGTGTCAATTCCCTGGCTATTGTGGTAGCCACAACGGATCACGTGAAGGCCACAAATCCTAGTCTCTCCTCGCTTAGGACTTGCGTCAATGAGCGGCATCCATGCCACAAACACGTTAATTCTCTGGGTTTTTGCATTGATGGGTCTCGGCAGCCACAACAGATCGCATAGAGGCCACACATCCTGTCTCTCCTACGTAAGACTAGCCCGTAATCTCAAGTCCTTAGACGTCGTGCGCAACATGTCCAGCAATAGCATTGCGTTTTTGTTGGGCCAAACGGCGTCATCCGAGGCCAACTTCGGTTGGGAGATTGACAGGTTCAGTTTCGAGACCGAAAAATCCTTCCGAACACGGGAGCCTCCACAGTCATAATCCCAGCAGGGCCGCATTTCGGGATAACCCCATATACCCCACAATGGTATTCCGTGAGTCGGAGCGGCAATGTGGCGAGAGCGATATCTAGGAAGTTGAAGAGCACCAGAGCTATGCGTCGATGAATCAAGCGCGCCGGGTGACTGGCCGGTGTGAGACTGTGGCGAGAAGGAGACTTTGGTCGAGACTCTGGCTTGTTGCCAGCGCGGCCCCGATGCCAGTATCCCTGTACTGAGTAAACAGCGAGACACCATAAACTCATAGCGTCACCAACCTCGTCACACACTGATGCAGCTCTTCAGCCTGTATCTGAACCTCGCTTCACGCTACGTTTGCGGTTGTGCATGGGGGGCGGGTCGGAGAGAAGCGCGCGGACAGACCCTGCAGCGCAAAAGCCGGCTGCTTGTGATTGCCAGGATGGTTGCGAGGCGGAAGGAGAGCTTCAACTGCCATCTGCAGACCCATCGCCCCATGAGGCGGAGGCACAGCTGGGTCGTTGCTGCTTCGCATGTATTTGTGCATGGTCGCTCTCGCAGGAAGTCTCGCAGCACAACGCCAGAGCAACGCTGGAAGATCCGCCGGAGAACGTGCAGGCCCGCCCGCTCGTGGCCATCTCTTGCTAGTGTCCGTAATGCATGGGAGCTGAGATCGGACACGAAAAGTGCACGCACGATCGCACCGAAAGATTCTCTCTCCATGACTCCGCAGATGTGGTGAGTTTTTGTTCCGTCGGCCAAGGATTCCGAGATTGAAGTCCTTGGACCGGCATTGGCCGATCCCGAGCGCTTCGACGAGGAGGTGTGCGCTTCGTTCTCTTTCGCTCAATCGTGCTCGGTTTGAGCGAGGACTCCGTTGAGGCCGATGGCGATGGCGGTGGCGTGGAGCCGGAGGATGTGAAGGCGCACTTGGCAAAGCCTCGGCCCCAGCCTTTGACCACCCCAGCCTTTGGTTCTCAGTGGCAGCCCGAAGGCGGCGAAAGCGCCTCGCAACGCAACTCTTTGCGGTGCCCGGTCGCAGACGGAGGTGGGTCTTGAGCATGTGCGGCCCTGCGCATCGCCGCGCGAATCCGCAGGATGCTGGCGGAGTCCTGGCCCAAGGACTCCCATGCCGTGAATGCCAAGGCTTGCCTGGTTCTGCTAGTTACCGCTAGTTTGCATCGCGCAGTAGCTGTTTCTGCGAGTCCGGTTTCGAGGTCGAGCTGCATCAGGGACTGAAGCAGGAGGTTCCGATCAAGAGGGAGGCCGACGAGCAGACGCAGCTGCAGCCGCTTGCGCTGACACAGCAGCGTTGGCATGTGCAGGCTGTAAAGCGCGAGCTGGCTGCTTTCCCTTCCGATCCAAGTAGCCTCTTCCTCAGCCACAAGCAGGGCCGAACTGCTTGAGCATCCACCAGACTCTTTGCCACTGGCACAGGTGCAGATGAGCCCCCGGGTGCGCTGCTGAAGCGACGCAGACGAGGCGGAGAGTGGAAAAGCGGAGAGGGAAGGGCCGATCAGCTGAGAAAGTTTTTCGCTGGCGTACCCGAGGTGGTGCCGGTGCAGAGAGATCCCAGGCATACGACACTTGGGCCATGGAATCGTCGTGTGCGATCTGGCCTGAGTCGCTCTCCGTGTCCTCGTGTCCTCACCGGAAGGCTGATGCAGTCGGCGACATGACTCCAGGGAATGCAGGCCGTTTGAGTTTCCCAGCCTGTGGCCTTTGTTATTTTTCATGTCAGGCCGCATGATGCAAGGGCTGCCACATGCTGACCTGCTCCGCTTGGCCGGCCAGCTGGAGTCCAGGCCTCAACTGACGCCGAAAGCTTCCGCCGACCTCCTCTCTTCGCCAACCCGTGCCTTTCCGTGTGGCGCTGCATAAGGCACCGCTACCTGGGCGCCTCCGAGTGGCAGTCTGTGCCAGTGGTTGTGTAAAGTTCAAAGGTTCAAAGAGCCATGCTTTCGCGGAAATATGCGGATAGCTGCGGCTATGCTAATGCTCTCGCACACCGTGCGACCTCTTGGGTGTTCCCGGGCTGTGCCCCAAACTCAGCTCGATGACTTGCAGTGCTTTGAAGCACTGGAGGGGTCTCAGAGACACGGGCTGCGGCCCTGGGTCTCTGGTAGCCTTGCGAGCAGGGGCTGCTCAAACCTCCCGGGGGGAGGCAAGGCGAAGGCAAAATTCCGCATTCGGCCTTTCTCCGTCGTGTCGTCCGTGCCTTGATTTTTTCTTGTCCTGGTTGACGTCCTGCCGAATAGCTGAGACACGCGGATCGTTCTGCCTCCAACTCGAGTGCTCAGAATCCCCTCGCAGCCATGGAGGATGATTACGCGCATCCTTATGAGGCTGAAGTTCGGCTGATGCTTTTCGGAGCCAGAAGTTGTCATGTCAGGACTCCATCGAGAAGTTTACCACCTATGAAGACTACCTAGACAGCCAAATCACACCTCAGGACTGCAGGATGGGGGATTCTCTCGCATGCCGGCGGACACTTTCACTGAGCTACTGAGCTGGAGGACCGTTTTTACCTAGAGGAAGACGAGCTCGCTCGACAGCTCGTTGAGATAGGATGCAGGAAAGGGGAGGCCACGGCAAGATGTCGAGGGTCTGTCGAATGCTGCGGTGTTCACCGCGGAAGGTGTTGACCAGGGAGGACTTCGCTGCAAGGCGGGAGGCGGCTGAGAACGCCAAGAAGGTGCCCACCCCGAGCACAGCCTAGCACTGCCCAGAACGGCTGCACGGCCAGCAATGCACTGTCCTGCCGCTCTGAGAGGCGCGTCTGCAGAGCGCGCCGAAGGCCGGGGGGCCGGTCGCCGTCTGCGCAGCCTCGCCTCTCGCCTGAGAGCGGGCGACGGCGCCAGGTCCTGGCAAGTGCGCAGAAAAAGCTGACGGACTTCCCAGTTCTTCGACACCTTGCATGTCGAGAGGCCGGACAGGAGCACGTACTCAAAGTTCAGCTTGTCCCTGCAGAAGGAATTGGTGCGCAGCGGCAAGCTCAGCACCATCATCTTCATCCGCGATAAAAATCATCGTGGACAGGATGGGCGAAGACCTGAAAAGGGGGAAGGCGTGGGTGTGCAATGGTAGTGAAGTGTCAGGAGATCTCTGGATACATAGACTACGGCCACCGTCTCAAGACTGAGAACTTCGAGCCGTCCCCTGGTCCTGATGATGTCTCAGGATCCGTTGCTCTACTCCTTTTGGGCTCTGATTTCCCAGGTACTTCGAGCGGAAGAAGCGGCTCCTGCCGAAGTCGACGGACCCTCAGAGATTACGGGCCCCGGTAACCACCCCCCACATCCGCCCACAACCCCACCGAACAGCAGCTTGCACATCAGACCGCTCAGCAAAAGCCCTTGAACAACGACAAAGGAGAGTTCAAGCTTCTGAGACTATAGAAGATGCAGGAGACCCTCTGGCAAGGCCCTTTTTCCTGCATCTTGGTGTGGTGTCACAAGCCTTCCACGACAAATCACAAGCCAGATTTGTGTATTTGTGATGCTCATAGTCTTTGTGCTGTCAACTTCATCATCAGCGTTCTTGAAGTTAGGCTCGCAACAAAATCCATGTCTCTATGATGCTCACCAGCAAAACAGGTCGTTAAGAGGATGGTGATGATGAAGGCCGCATGTGCTCGACAGAGACAACTTGCTGACTGTGCTAAGGGCAACGGGTCCTGTCATGATAGCAGGCAGAACCATGATCCGGGCCAGGTCCACCGTGCTGATAATTACGCAGCTGCTGCTCGTTTATCGTAGGGGCTGCGCCCGCAGCGCAAGTAGCAGCCCGTATAACTTTTTTGCTGCGGCCCCCTCCCCGCACCCCTTCCGACCAGGACCCCGCTCATGATCTGCGCCCATTGCGCACGACCAACGGCAATTCCGAATCATTCCGAAACACGCCAAGCACTTATAGGCGGCAATCCGAGGGCTCATGATGCTCGCCAAGTGCCCTTCGGGGGTCTGAAACCTGCCACTACGCTGAGAATATTGAATAGCCTAAAGACACGTGCGTTGGCGAGCCTCCGAACGAGGTAGGGTCGGCAGCACTGCCGTCCGCGCCTACCGGGCATGGCCGTCGTGGTCCAGGGCAGTATCGCGCTGGCTTTCCCTGCGTTTCGCTAGTGCCGCCGACCCCGCATCGCTGGACATCATCGGGCCGTATGTTTCCCTTCCAGAGGGCTGTGGCTGTGAGAGGGAATTGGGGCGCGCCCATCTTCGAAGCAGCTCCGATGAGGTTCACCCCCCCACGGCCTGGTGTGTTTTTTGTGTTTTTGGAAGCCGTGGCGGGAGCGCATCCTGAGCACCCTTTCGGGTGCTTTGGGGAGGCCTTGCCGGCCCGTGCGGCCAGGCCCTACAATTTAAGGGCTGATGAGCCTACCGGTCCGCTGCACCGCACTGTCCAAGGACATTTCCGTGCCACGTTCATGCGCATTTCATGGCCATCCCCCAGCTAACTTCGAGTTTCGCATCCGTGCCAGCGACGCCACAGGGCGCGCATCACGAGCATCAGCGGGACCCCCGAAATGCGCTAACGGCTAAAGGCGCTAAGCAAGGCTTGCAAGCTATTGCTCCGCACCAAACTCCCCGATTTAAGGGCCTTTCCCAGAAATTGTTACTGCCATCTGCCCCTCCAAAAGGCCCGCATCATGAGCATCAGCGGGGCTGATGCTCATGATGCGCGCCCCTGCGGCGCGCATCATGAGCCTACCGGTCCGCCGTACAGTGCTGTCCAAGAACATGCCCCGCGCATTTCGCGGCCATCCCCCAGCTAGTTTCGAGTTTCGCTTGTCGGGCGACGCGGAGGCGCGCATCACGAGCATCAGCGGGACCCCCGCCCCTTTCAAAGGCTTCGGCCACACTGCCCGCACTCTCAGAGGGTCCGCTGTGCTGCTTTAAGGGCTGCGCCAGGTGCGGGCAGCGCAGGCAGTCCTTTCCCAGAGGCAGCACATCATAGGGGGAAGTTTGAGTCCAGATATAGAAGGAAGCAGGCCGTGACGACCGCAACTCACACGGTTTCGCTTTAAGGCCGCTTTTCCTCCAAGACAGACACGGAAAATCCCAGCAATTGTTCTGAACAGACCAAAGATTCTACAGACCGCCAGCTGATGCACATGATGCGCATGCGACGGGGGCCCAAGTGAACACCCCAAGTCTTTAAAGGAGCCTGTTGAACAAAAACCGTTGAAACAATGCATGCTGGGAACACACGACTCGCCACCGCTCCTTTAGACCTTCCAACAGGGGCAGGGGGGTAGGGTAGGGGGGTCGGGGCAGGGGTCCCAGACACGCACCTGTTTTGGCGAGTGGCTGCGATTTGCGTTCCGCACTGCACGGAGGGTAGGGGTGGGAAGGGGTTACCTGCCATGCAAAGGGGCGGGGTCGGCGGATCACAACACTACCTGCAAAACTAACGTCAATGGTGGTGTCCATGTCTGTGATAACGATCATGGCAATGGTAATAGAATGGTGAACGTTCTACACAGAAAACGAGGCACTGTCGGCCAATCTTTTCGTCAGGGTGCGACACCTGCAATTTCGCTGTTCGTTTTGCACACCATCCTTCGTTTGTGCAGGCAGTGATGAGCCCGTTACAGGATTTCTTTCGAGGGGAGGGGAATGCAATTGGAGGTAGGGTTCCATGCTTGTTGTTCCTAACCTTGCCACAGCTGGCATTGCCTTCCGGTGATGGTTGTGATTGTTGAAATCTTTTCATGCCGGATTCTGGATATGGTGTCTGCGAGTCCAAGGTCTGACTTGTCCTTCTACAACTGGGACACGCAGCACTCGACCTCGAACGAGAGTCCCAACTTCCAGATCCTGCCGGACCACGAGCAGGGCCTGCTCTTCAAGAACAAGCGCGACCGCAAGGCCCAAAGATAGCTCTCTTAGCATCTTTAGCCACAGGAGCCACAGGAGCCGCAGGAGCCAGAGGCTTGCACCCGTGCCTTGGTGCAGGTGCTCAGCGTCGACCCCAGGTCCGAGCCTGGCGACAACTCCAAGCGCCTGGAGGCGCCTCGCCCAGAAGGGGATGATGTTTGCATGGCCCGGCCCGGAACGCTTCGTCTTCCATAGGTGCCGACCACCGAGTACATCCAAGCACCCTGGAGGATTCTAGCCCCGAAGACCAAACTAAGTCCAACGCTGTGGCAACTAAGGTGGTGATCTTTGATCATATGACGCGTAAGAAAAGCTGAAGTGCAGCTTCCGAGCTTGTACTCCCAGCGACGAGAATTGGTCTAAGAGGCACATCGCATGTCCGAGACGTACTCTCATATTGGCACACATATTGTGCTTATAGCTGAGGGGATGCAAGAATCTTCGGCCGTTTCACCTCCGCAGATCGAGTTTGTCTGTCTCACCACTACCAGCGTTGACAACACCTCCACTCGCTTCAGAGAAGAGTGAGGCGAATTCGACTGACGTGTAAAAGATGCAGCTTGGAGACACCACGGAAGCTGCGACGGTGCCTGCTTGTTGTCCCGGGCTTCAACATCTTCTGCCAGAGGCCACTTTGGCCCCAGGCTACGGTCCGCTGCCAGCAAACCGCCAGGACATGCTTATTACACCAGATCGTCAAGATGGGAAGACACCCGCAACTCATTCTGAGTCTTTAAAACAGCGGGAGTCCGCGACAGTCCCTTCTGACTGAACACCTCCAAGCACTTAAGCATAGAGCGAAGAAGAATGGATCCGCCCCTGGCTCCAAGCCCGGGGAGGCGTCCGACTGAAGTCGCATCGCAATCCTGGAAAATCCGTTCTGGTGCTCACCTAGGCGCTGGCTTTTGGGTCTCCTCGCTATGCCCTCGAAGAACCTCGGAGTTTGCGGCAGCTCGCGACCTTCGTTTAAGCCCAGGTCTTCGTCGCGTGGTTTCAGGGCCCGACTTCCGAGGGCTTCTCAGGCCTCTTCCAGGCGAGGCTTGCGAGTGGCCGGGGGGGGGGGGGTGTCGGGACGCCTTCGAACTGTTGTGCTTCTCTCCAACAGCCTTGGCATCATCACACTAGAGTCACTAGAGTCTAGAGGCTCTGGCAAGCCCATGCTCTGGAAAGCCAGAAGCCACGCCAAGCAAAACGAGAACCTGTCGATGGCGTTTCGTGCTGCGAAGATTATCGGGCAAGCGATTGTTGTTGGTCCGAGAAAGCGTCGTCAAACGGGATCTTCGGTGACACCGCTGAGCATTGCTGGAAGAAGCTGTGACGTTGACTGCCCGCGAAGAAGAGGAAGGAAAGACGGCCTGCTGATGCCGTGTGGCCGTGCTGCCGTCTCGCTGACTGGTACAATTAATCTTTGGAGGGCCCGCGACGGCATTCGACGAGTCGACCGCGGGCATTCCTGGCACAGCCAGTAGTTGCGTTTGCCTGTACCATCTGCGCAGTTAACGAGAGAAAAGCGCGGCATGGAGGATTGCAGTGTCTTGCTTGCAACCCGCCCGTTCTCGCAGGCGGACAGGAATGCCCAGCTTGCTGCAATCGCTCGGCGGGTTCAGCACTTTGTGAAGCTTGCGACGGCTGTTGTCCGCGTGTGCAGTTCAACATGTGCTGCAGAGGCAGCCCCGACATCTTATAGCGGAAAGAAGCTCATCATCAAGTTGCCCAAGGCCGAAGGAGAAATTTGTATCGTCGTGAGAGTCAACAGCAACAGCTGTTTTGCGATTTTTCAGGCCCAAGGCTTCCAGACGATGGCCGACATCCCCAAGGCGTGTGCTTCTGGGCCAGGGCGTGCCGGGGTCATACTCGGTTTCATCAGCAGGAGCAGTTTGTGCAGCCGGTGGAGCGCAACACACGGCACCAGAGGAAGAACTTCTGGGCCGCGACCTCGAGAGGGGCTTTCGAAAGGATGCACTGAAAGTTGGCAACCGAGGAATTCTCCAGGGCCGGCTACAACGTCAGCGAGGTGCCACTGCTCGCATTTGCACGCTCTCCGTGCTTTGCCAGCTCTCCTCTCGCTCCCCTCAACTCAACAGGTCTTCGTCCGGTACGAGGGGCTGACGCCCTGGAAGCGCGTGGGCGAGGCCCGCGTGATGGACGGGGTGCAGAAGAGATGCAGAAATCATTGAGCCCCGGAGGTCGTTCACAAGGAGGGCGACTTCAGGGAAGCGATTCAGTGCCAGTACAAGTATTTGATCAGACGACCGGCCCTTAGAGAGAGGGGAATCGGAAGCATACAGCAGGGAGTCCCTGCCTCGACCCAGGTGCCTACTACCTGTATCGGAAGTTCCGCTATTGGTACCCGAAGTCGAACCCGGTCGGGCCAAGTGAAGTCGGAGAAGCTCTTCTAGACGCAATGAGTCAGGTGCAGTTCGGCTACACGGACACTGAAGGGGAGATAGTGCCTTGGGTGGCACTTGCACACATTGACGCACATTGGCTTCTCGCTGAGATACTCTGAAAAGGTGGTGGTTGACGATGGGCCTCCGGATCTGGGCCTGGAGCCGCAAGAGCTCAAGGCAGCTGGCTCGGGTACCATCTTGCGGTTTTGGCCCGTAACATCCAGCACAGGACATGCTGCTGAGAAGCGGCTTCCTTGGGGCTAACAAGCCCCGACACTGGCGGCACATGCACCAGAACATCAAGGATCTGTACTCAACCAAGAAGGACGCGGCGCTTGCCCAAGGCGAAGTTGTCGCAATTCGTGTGCAACGTTCTTCGGGGATGCGCAGGACCACCACAGAAAGAAGAGTTGGCTCATGAAGCGAGAATACAACTACAGGCGCAGTCGGGGCCATGTGCCCAAGAGCCACTATGTGCGAACACCACCAGCTGTAAGCATGTGCAGGGTCGACGCACATAAGTGGCCTCGCACTCGGAAGAACTCACATGCAGCAGGGGCTTGGCTTGTCCAGCGGCGAAGGTGGAATCCCCGAAAGTACCGCGGGCGCTACATGCAAGTGCAGACCAGGAAGCGGGGTATCGAAGCGCCCTCGGGGGAGAGACGGAGAAAGCTTTCAATTGCCAGCTTGCACGCGCCATCCCGTGGTTCCGTTAAAGACTTCAGGTCACGGGGACAGGTCCATCGAGATGACCTCCCTTTTCCGCGTGCTCCGTGCAGTTGTGGCAGTGTTGCCCTTGTGCCATCGTGGTCTCACCCGAAAAGAGACGGAAGGTGCTTGAAAAAGGCGGCTTTCGTTGCATATCCGTCTGAAGCCCCGTCAGCTTCCCTTAAGCTCGAGTTCCTGTCCGAAGCGATTGGGCTGAGCACCTTTGCCAGATACTGTCTCATGAACGAGAGCCGGTTGACACTCGCATAGTTGGACTTCCGCAGCGTGTTTAGGGCAACTCGCCCTGCCGCCATGGCTGTAGATTCACTGGCACAGAGGCCGAGAGAGTAGGGAAGGGTGGAAGGGTTAGCGACGGAAGCGATCTTGTGCACAGCGCTGTGCTGCCAGGTCGGCTCAATTGGGCCAAGGCCAAGGCCAGAGCGATAAGATCTGGGCTTCGCTTTCGGCCTGTGAGCAGCGCCAAAGAAAGGTCTCGGCGTTGGCGAGGGCGAGGTGGCTATGAAGATCCTGCTCGCTGAGCTCCGCTGCATCAAGGTCGATGCCCAAGGTCCTCGTCTCATCTCAGATTCGCCAGATTTCTGCAGACCATGGGTCCAAGACGAAGACTAAGGTCATGTCGCGTGCACAAAGTTGCACCAGAAGCTGAAACGTGTGTGGCTTCAAGGATACATACTGTGCCGATCTCTGAGTTTTGCCATGAAGACGGTACTGCTAGCTCAGTGAAAACCAACATGAGGCAGGGACGGTGATGACATCGTGGACCTGGACGATGGATCAGCAGTGATGAGCGCGTGACTCAAACCGAAGCTGATGCAGCTGTTGTTCAATGATTCTTGACGTCACTGGAGCGGTAGAGACGAAGTGAGGCCTAGACGTGGGAGGGCTCATTTCCTCGAGCCCCGCGACCAGTGCAGCGCTCCAGGCTTCGATGGGCGAAGCCGCTTCGACTCACTCGCCGCAGTAGATGCGGTTTCCTCTCTGCTTTGCGCGAATGTGCAGGCGGGGCGGTACGTATCGTGTGTCCGGCACCCGGCTGCAAGCCCAGAAGGATGGAGCAGGGGGGTTGAGAGTTGCAGGTGTGTGCGGTGGAGTTCCATCCCCAGGACCCCGAGGGCTCCCGAATGAGGTGTCGGTGAAGCGGTGCTTGTCGCAAGCCAGGAGGGAATTCTGGACCTGCACGTGGAGAGCGTGTGCCCGTTGGATGATCCAGGCGCTTTGGCATCTGTATGGCATCCCGAGAATTCTTGGACAAAGAGGCGACTCGCTGGCCGAGCCCTTCTGGTTTCTCGAGGCCTTTGTGTTCTTTGCTCCTTTGCGTCTTTGCAGAATGTCTTGGCAGGTCGCGCGGTCGCACCAGCTGAGAGCTTCCAGCACCCCTCGTCCCTAGGAAAAAATGCATTTCAATCCTCGTTGTGGGCTTGGTTCCCGCTTCCTTCGAACTGCACGACATGTTTCACATCCTTGCATCAGTGCTCAGAAGGGGTTGGACGTGTGAAGCCGCAGCGTGACGTCAGAATTCCAGCAGAGCTTTTGCCGTAGTCGTCCAGGGTCGTTGAAGAGAGGGAAGGTCTGATTGACAAGGTCCATAAACAGGCACGGCCTAGAGCTAGAGTTTCCTTGCGCCTCTGATGGACAACGTGCAGGAAGGAAGAGCCGGAGCCTCGGGTGGTATCCTTGGGCGGGCTCTTCCCTCCCCTTTTCGGGAGGCCACGGAGCTGCTGCGAAGAGCCCAGCAGCTCCGGCAAGAGCTCCAAGCACAGGCCTGGAGCCCAGAGCCATGTGCTTGGAAACTGGGGGGCAGCACAGGCGCCAGCAGCGCCCAACAACCGGACGGTGCAGTCCTCACAAGAGCCGCAGTCTCAGGATCGAGTGTCAGAAACCGCCAGCCCTTCCCGGCATCAGCGAAATCTGCCTCAAGATCAAGCCTTGAAGGGAGGCTTTTGTGAAGCATCTCGGGCCATGGCGGCCGCAGTGTCGGTGCCAGTGACTCCGACGGGCCAGCTGCTTCGCTTCGCAGGCCGGTTGCACTCTCGAACACTTGTACCTTCTACCTTGCCTAAAGTGGTGCTGGTGTGTAGGTCCACCACCAAGTGAGCAGCTGGTCTTCGGCAGCCACTTGCATTGGCTCCCACCCCGACCGACAAGACGGTCCTGGTGCGCGAGCTGCCTGGTGGCCACTTGTCAGAAGGGTGTTCGGGAGGTTCTTCGTGTCACAGCCTGGCGGTATCAAGCGAGCCGCGAGCTTTCTGCAGAAGGTCTTCAGCCTGGCTCGCACGTCACAGCGCCTGCGTCAGCTACGAGTGCGAGACGAGGCTTTGGACTCGGCCCAGGGCCCTTGGCATGTGCGGTGCCTGGTGAGAGCTTTTGTGGCGCGCAGGACCGGAGCCGCTGCTCTGCAGAAGTGATGTCCCGGCCCGAGAGGGTATGGTTGCTTCGGTTGCTTAGCGTGATGCGATGCGGGATGCGGAGCACGAGCAGAGGCTGGACTTCGAGCGAAAAGGCTTTCTGAAGATGCCGCAGATCTTGGCCCCGGCCGATGACCCAAGTCGTTGAACTTCGTTCTCTTCGCTTTGCTTGCGGGGCAACGTTGTAGAGCGTGGATGTTGAGGAGGAGGTGGACTCACTGAGCGAGCTGGTGAGCGCCACCTGCCGTGGCTGGGACTTCTTACGGTAGGCTCGGTTTCTATAGGTTGCTCCTTGGCACACCAGTGTATGTGTCCGAGGCTCTGAAGAGTGTGTGCTCGAGGCACTCCGTCATCAGATCAGGGTGACCTGTCGGCGAGTGGAACATTCACTTGTAAGCAAAGTTATAGATCTCGTAAGGGAGACATTCAGGTGCAGTATGGCGCGGCGAGCGCCACATCTTGCTCGGATATTGCTGCTTGCCGGGCCAAGCTGAGAAGCCTTGAGAAACGCCGCCACCCCAGCCGCACAGACATAAATCAAGCCGCCACCGTGGCTTCAAAATCTATATGCGCCTCGTTGAGGCGGAGAGATCAGCTTCCTTCAGTACTTCAACTTGCATCGCCACAGCGGGGAGCTCCGGGAGCTGGCTTTGTCTCCCCGCTTCGCCTTCTGGGCTTCGCGGCTCCTGGGCGTGCCGAGGGTGCGCCGGGGGCCGAGCGCAGAGCCGCGCAGAGCGGCGCAGAGCGGCGATTGCGCGCCGCTGCCGCGTGGACGTCGGGGGCTCCTTCACTCCGAGGTCTCTATCAGGATGCCCTCTTCGAGAAGCGCCCAGGCGCCAGCGCTTGCCTTCAGCGATCGCTGGTGGCTCTGGTGGCTCTGGTGACTGAGGTGACGGGGCGACCGACTGGCATTCGGATTTGGGCTTGGCCCCTTTCGATACCAACAGCCCTTTGCCTCTCCCAGTGGCAAATCTCCTGCGCCCTTGCACGGGCTTGCACAGCCGAGGCTTTGTGACCATATGGTTGCCTCTAACATCCATTTCGACGAAGGGCTCGTCCCTGGTATATGCCATTAGCAGCCACAAAGATTTCGTGCCAGCCCCAGGCTTGCAGACATGAGAGCCCCGCATTCCTGGAGAGCTGAGGCACTTCCCTTCCTCGGAGATGTTGACGAAGACTTGAGTGGCAGGTACAAGCTCCAGCGCCTGGAGCTCGGCGATATCGACACTCCGGTCAATTTTCGATATCTGGAGCCCAGGCACTGGTGGCCTTCTTCCTGGGGATGCCACTGCGCACCACGGCTGGACGTTGCACAGCGCCGCAGGCATCCCAAAGACGGCTCCGCCGCGGCTGGCGTGGACCCTGGGCTTCGTGGCCGATGGAGCATGTCTCCGGCGTGGTGAGCTGGAGCTTGGGGAGGACGCCGTGTCCTACGAAGCCTGGGCCAAAGAGCTCGGGCCGGGTGCACGAGTGGAGCATCCCATGGTTCCCCTGCTGCCCGCAGCTTGAGGAAAAGGACTCGCAAGCGATGCGTTCGATGCGTTGGGTTGCCCGCACCGATGTGCATCGCTGTGCCCTTGCCAAAGGCTCTCCACTCGAGCTTTAGCTGAGCTGGAGCTGATTTTGGCCGAAGACCCTCTCTCTGGCAGGGCTCTCGGCTTCCTTTGCTTCAGCAGGGGCAGGCAGCCGAGTGCAAAGAGGTGGGCGGAAAGCTCACGAAGAGGTCGCCAAGCACGGCGAACCTGCAACAGTCCAGGCCACGCGGGGCACAGCCTCCAGGTTTGGCCTCTTTGGCTTCGGATCCCAGCGAAGCGAAGCGGTGAGCCCTTGTGACCCCAGACTGAAAGAAGCGCTCTTGCCATGTTTCAACAGTCCGTTTCCATCAAAGGACAAGCGACTGCAATTAGCCACGTGCTCCCAGCTCAGACCACACCAAGCCAGCAAGAACGAACGAGCAAAGAAACATCATGCAAAACGCTTGGCTTAGCACCGTCTTCGCCAAAAACACCAGCAAGCAACAGAAGCGCAAGCTGGGCATAACCGCAGGCGCCAGACAACCCAAATCAAGACACAGGCGCCCACACAGTCGAGTCACATTCCTGAGTGACGCGACCGAAACACATTGCTGGAGTTGCCAGTGCACGTTCACGATGCGTGCTGCTCGGCTCAGCGCAGGCAGAGGCTCCAGAAGAGGCGCGGGCATCCCTGGTGGCCCCACGGCTCGAAGGCACCCGGAGCGACCTGGCCTCGCCTGATTTTGTTGGTTGCTGTGTTCTTGCAGACTTCGACGGCCTCTGCTTGAAGCTGCAGACGCTGGAGCTCACCCCAAGCGCGGCGCGCAAGATCAGGCTGGCTGAGAAGTCCCCTATGGGGGGCGCACGGGCAAGGGTTGTAGTTGCGGACAAAGCGGGGTCTGCGCTCGAGGGCTGCCGAGTCTGTCTGGCTGAGCTGCGGCCTCGACCTGGGCCAGGGCCTCGAAAAGTGCGGCTCCGGGGGTCGAGAGCGCCAACAGTCCTCCTCGATAGTGCGGGGGTTTCCGCTTCGCTTTCGCGCGCTCCGAGAGGCCGCGGTCCGGAGGAGCTCTTGGTCGCTTGCCCGAGCGCTGCAGGCGCCTCGCGGGGCCTGCAGAGTTTGAGAGAGCGGCCCGCTTTTGTCAGGGGCGCGAAGTTGTCAATCGAAATTCGGAGATGAGAGTTCAGATGCTGTGCAGATAGCCGGCTCCTGGCCATTCAGCACACATCCTTTCACAGCAAGGAAGCGTCGGCGACCCAGGGTTTGCAGTTCGCAGCGACTCTTTTCTGTCAGTCTTGGCAGGTTGGCCGAGTTTCGAACATTGGCCAGCCTTCCGTGGGAAACTCAGGATGCGCCTCAGCCACGAGAGGCATGTCGAACGTGCTCCTGCCACAGGTTGCAAGTGAAGCTGCTGATCAAAGGGCAGCGAAAAGGCAGCGACTTCCCCACCAGTGGTTTTGCAACTTCAGCCAGCGTCATCTGTTCATCATTGGTGCTGCTGGTATCCGCAGCTGGTTGTCCCAGTCATCTCAGTCACTTTTCCAAGGGATAGACTTTTGATCCTTCGCGCGCCAGTCGTTGCACTTGGTCTTGCTGCCAGCTGAGTGAGGGATCGGTGAGGGAAGCTTTTACTCGAGAAGTGGGTGGTTTTAGAGAGTAACCCATTCCCTCGTTCGGAGCGAGACCAGAGCCACTAACTGCTGAGCTCTCGCTCGACCACCCCCAACGACACCCACGGGGGCGGGAAGAGAATGAGTGTGTGGTTGGCAGGTGCCGCGGCGCACTCGACGAACTCTTCCAACTCCACACAGATGCAAACCGTTGCCCAGGCCAGGAGTTGGACTTCTGGTGCTCCTCTGCGCAAGCGTGTCAGACCGGATCAGAGTGACGTAGCCTTTGAAGGCTGAGCTACTCTGGTTTGCAGCCGGTGCCTAAGAGAGCGCTTCATTCATGGCGGAGCGGAGCGCCCTCCGCCGTGGAGGCCCTGCTGGACCCGGGCAGCGCCTGCCCCTTCGTTGCGGAGCTGACAGAGGGAGGCCCGCAGTCGCAGATGCGAGCTTTGAAGAGACGGCATTGAAATTGCGCGGGTCCCTCGAGGGAAGGCCGGAGCCGCCGTTGGCCGCCTCCAGCTCTCGCTGGAGCTGACAAGCAAAGGAGAAGGCAACAGTTTGGAAGGGCTCTGGGATCAGCGAGAGGTTTTCAGAGCAAATGCAGGTCCTCGCAGGCCGGTACCGACCGATGACTGCAGGGTGCTCAGAGGCGTCGCTTGCCAGAAGAGTCTTCAAGAAGAGGGCCTCAGTGATTCAGGCAGCATCCATGTCAGACTTTGGCTTGGCTCCTTCAGCCCCCTGGTCACTCCGAGCTCGGTTTCCGAACTACGTGCTGTGCTGAAGCTGGGGCAGCAGCAGGAGATCAGTATGAGTGTGCAGAAAGATGCTTTGGGCATCGGTCGTGATGTGGTCTTCGGGCAGTCGGCGGTGTCAGCATCGAGCGTTTGGCAGGTTCAGAGAGAAACTTTCGCTTGCAAGGGGCCTTGTCCCGCTTGCATCTTTGTGCAACTGTGGAGCGGTGCAGAGCTTTGTGGTCTTGCGAAGCTGCTGCTCGAACCTTTCCAGAAGGAATCCGCGCAAGAGATGATCAGTTTGCAGGGATACAGGACCATTTTCGATGGTGAGCTGGACGTCTCTGCCGTCGTCAACAACACGAGCATTGGAAACCTTCAGATTTGTGCTCATGCCGGACTGGCGCCGGTGCTGTTGCAACTCTCTCGAGAAGCACCGCAGCTGGAAATTCACGTCGATCCTCGGGATGTCTCCGCCGCCTTGCTGCTGCTAGCCCATCAGAGCTTTGACTTGATCGCTGAGGGGCTAAAGGCGGCGGTTGCGCAGCACCTGGAGGGAAAGCAGCTGGCAGAAGCTCTTCAAGATCTAGAGCCGCTCCTGACTTTTACGGAAGCCTCTGCCCTTGTGAACAGCATCAAGGAGGGAGCACGTCGTTCCGTCGAAGCTTCGAGATTTCTGGAGCTACTTCGGTCACGTATGCTTGCGGTGCAAGAGAGCTTTGACCAAGTGATTCGTGAAGTTGGGGACGAATCTGGAAGCTTGGCCTTGGATTTCCTGGAGGTGGGCAACCCTGTTTGGCTGCAGAGGCAGGATGTGGCCAGAGCTCTGAAATTCCGCGGCCTGGACCTGAGCTGGGCCTGCTTGGAAGGCGTCTTTGTGGCCCTCGGCTGCCCTGAGCCTTCCGGCGCCGTTTCTGCGGAGAAGTTCGCCCGGCTCTTCCGGCAGCGAGCGGAGCTCGCAAAGCGGCGACGGGCCCGGCTCCGGCACTTGGAAGCCGAGGCCTTGGCTCAGTTGCGGGCCATGCGGGGCCCGACGGGCCCGAGCCCGAGGCAGAGGATGGAGGAACTCGTGCTGAGGCACTCAGCAGACGGGACGCTCGATGCCCTTGGCTTGACGGTGATGCTTGCAGAGGAGACTCCAAGTCTGCCACGGACGGATGTAGATGATCTGGTGCAGTTGCTCTTCGAGCGGTTTGGAGTGAAGCCGGGAGGCCGCGTGTCAGCAACCCGCGTTCTGCAGTGGCTGGTTGGCACGCAGGGGTCAGTGATTCAATCGTCTCTTCGAGACGTGGACTTGAACTCGGCTTCACAGCCAGCACAGTTGCTGGCCAAGTTGGCCGCAAAATTGCCCGCACAGGTGCCATTGAAGGCCGAGCCCCAGCCAGAACCTGTGACGTCACCTTTGGCCAAGCAGGCCCCTGCAGAAGTTCGCACGAGCACCGCAGACGCTGAGGCAACGGTGCAGGCAACGTTGCAACTGGCACGGCCATTGAGAAGCGGCTTGGAGCAGCAGCTGTCAGAAGTTCTCGCTGCGTCCCTGGGTCTGGAGACAGCGAGGCTTCGCGTCCTTGGGGCCGAAGAAGGTGCCTCGCGCATCTGTGTGCAAATGCGACCCCGGTCGTCTTCGTCCCAAGACGTCGTGGCGAAGCTCGCCCGTCAGCTGGGGGATCCTGCGTCGAGTCTCGCAGCCAGGCCCTGAGTCGAAGCGGAACAGAGCCGGGCCGCGTCTGTGTGGAACCGAGGCCAGTTCGCTTGGCACCTATTTCTGCTGACGCGATCTGGTCTGAAGATCCGCCAGCGGAAGGCTGGGCAAGTGACTTGAGATGCTTGGGTAAACGCTGGTCGCTGCAGAGGCGTAGTAGGAGGATTCGTCTTCGTCGTCCTCGTCCGGAAGTGGTCGTAGCAGCAACCACGAAATCGCAACTGCAATGTGACCCTCCAGAGAACACGTCGCAGCTCACGAAGCATTCTGGTTCGGCCCTTTGAGTCCTAGCGGCGCAGGCAGCTCCCGGGCAAGATGAACCAGTGCTCTTCGGTTGCGCTCTGACAGCTCTCCAACCCTTGGCCAGGGTAGGCACTTGGAGAATCGAGCTTGCAGGATGCCGAGCTACTGAGCTGCAGCTCAAGGGTCCATGAAGGTTTTTCTGGCATGCTACAAGTAGAGAGGATGTCGAAGAGCGACGCTTCTAGATGGCTACCAGATTGACATGTGCACCGGGCACGGTGCACGTAGCATAAACACTGGTAGGGCGAAGACTGCTCCAACCGAACTGGAAGCACTTCTCAGGCCTTCGGTGAATGCTTTTGCCATCAACTTCGTCGACTTCTCGGACTGCTGCCTTGGCGCTCAAACTGGCGTGAATTGAAGAAGATCGCGGTGGCTGCGCAAATGCAAGCCGTAAAATTGAAGAGGCACGCGCTGGGGGAACATGTTGGCATGCGGCTGTGAGCCCTGGGACCGTGGTTTCGTCAAGTGGGAGGCCGTCCAGTAGTTGCAGAAGCTTGAGTTTCGTGTCTGTGAGAAAAGGCACCGGCGATTTCTGTCCAGTGGTCCGGCATCTGACCTCGCCAAGCGAGTTCAGGTGCTGCAGTGAGTCGGCATGCACCGAAAGGCTAAAGCAAAACAAGTAGCTCCACAGACTAGCTCCACTGACAGCCTTCGCTACAGGATTACTTTGGCATATTTTAGCACCCTCACGTCATGTGGTACGATGCGCTTTGCTCGCTTGGCAACGCATCAAGCATTACGAGGGACGACCGCTCGCCAGCCTGGGCCATTTGTCGCAACAGCCCTTGATTGCAGGGTAGCTCCGCTCGCTGGCCCGCTGCACGATCTCGCAGGCGCTGAGCACCGTCTTCGTAGCGCACAGGCGGCCCAGGACATCGAGGCCTTTGCTTCCCAGCAAGTGGCCGAAGCGGAAGCCTCCGAAGGCTTCGCAACTGTCGCAGAAGCTTTTACCCTCTATGCTCACGTAGCCGCACGAGCATCCGGAGCGTCAAGGCATGATGGAATTTCACTGCGACGGAAGGATAGACCAATCAAGAATGTTTGAGGAAGTAACTTTCTTACGAGAAGACGCAGGGGCAACTTTGTCATTGAGACGTAGCACAAAACACCAAATGGCATGAGGATGGCTGAAGCGGTGCAGGCATGTTAAACCAGAGTTGCTACCCAACCCTAGCGTCTTAAGGGTATTCAGCCCAGTGACAGCCTCTGCCTTACAGCCATTGAGTTTTGGAAAATGCAGCATCAGATCTCTGAATCTGCGTACGGCTTTGCCGAGGGAAAGGCTTGTGTGGACAAAGCTACGGTGAAGCCCGAACGAGACAATAAAATCAACCAAAAGAAGTAACAAACAACATCTATAGAACCAGTATGCTTCGTACCCCACAATCACTTCCCGTCCGAAACGAAAGCCGACATCTGAGCCATCACATGTTGATGAACAACAACGCCGCCCACCTTGATGGGCTGTATGTCCAGCAGCAAAGGAGAAGCCGCCGACACAAGGATTGGAGAGATGATGGTTTTGTTCAGTGCTGGGTGAACGACTCCAAGGCTAAGAATTAGGCTTTCCTCGGGGGGAATGCGCTGCTCAACACTATCACAAAACAAGCCTCAACCCTACCAGCAACCACGCTTACACATTCACCTCGGCAAAGAACGGCTTGCCGCGGCATCTGACTCTGGGCAGACAGCTACACGGCAGAGTAACTCTTCGGCTGGGTTCCACCAGCATGATAAAAACATGGAGTATCAGGATCATGATCGATGCCGGTGTTGTCCTTGCGAGAAACCAGCGTGGCGACCAAATGAGTCAGAACATCAACGGCTCCTAGGATGAAGGGCTGTAGTTCTGCAAGTTTTCTCTGGGCTTCCACTAGAGCACATGCTTTAGCAAGTGCGTCAGCCTTTTGGTTCGTGAAAGAAACCGGCTGGGCAGTGGCTGTCTCGCGAATGTGAGCTTCGACTTTCTGAAAAACACACTGCCTCTTGAAATCTTTGAGCTCCTGAATAAAACAGAACCATAAAACGGGGTTATTAAGCACACCTAAGTCGTTGTAATCAAAGCCATGTGCTTGCAATGACGTGGCAATGCTCACAAAATTCGCAACTGCCGCAGAAGTAGCGCGGAGGCACGCTGGCAGCACTGGGTGAGGGAACCCTGGCTGTGACGGCCATTGTGGGCGCGGCAGCGGGCGCGGGCGGTTTGAACGTGGCCTCGCAGATGCTGGGCTGGGGCGTAACCACGGGAGGCGGCACCGACACCGATGCGTCGCGGCCCAGCCACGCGACGGACGTGCAAACCCTGAATGGCATGCAGGAAGCGGGGGCCATCGATCACTTCTACGCGCAGGTGTTTCAAGATTTACCAACAAGTGCACGCTTCTTCTGAACTGCATGCAATCGTCGAGACATTCTAGACGTCGGTTGACCGAGTGACAAGGATAATTACTGCGGCAGTTATGGTTCTTGCTTCAACATCTGTTGCATCTGCTGCTCACAGGGCAATACAGCTTTCCTACTTATAACGGAAGCGAATGCCTGCATCACTGAATGCCGCGAATCACATCCTGTTGCCACACCGCCAACCCAAATCAGCCCAATGCATTCCTACCAGTCGGAAGAAACAGCCTTGGCAGTGCTGAGCAAGTGACTAACCATATGCCAGGAAAACACGGATTTGCCATCGTCCAGACGGGGGCAAAAACCAGGCAGCTACAGTAGCCAACAAGGCGCTGGCCCTAGACGAGAAGGGCTCGAAACATGGCGCACTGATCAAGGCCGCCAATCGCCGCCAACCTGCCTTCATAGTCGGAGGATGGAACGCCGACCAACCAGCAAACGCTCGAGAAAGCCCACACCATCCTCAGAGAACTTCAAGTTGATGTGGACACAGGCGATGCATTTGTACCGGGGCTCCGCCGCGGCTGGAGACTAGAGAATTGCAGAAGAAGGAGCCAACCGCTCGAAAGAGACCAGAGAATTTCAGAAGGAGCAAACCAGAAGAAGGAGCACACCGCTCGAAAGACACCAAAAAATTTCAGAAGAAGGAGCACACCGATCGAAAAAGACCAGAGAATTTCAGAAGAAGGAGCACACCGCTCGAAACACACCAAAAAATTTCAGAAGAAGGAGCACACCGCTGGAAAGAGACCAGAGAATTTCAGCAGAAGGAGCAAACCGCACGAAAGAGACCAGGGAATTCAGAAGAAGGAGCAAAACGCTCGAAAGAGACTAGAGAATTTCAAAAGAAGGAGCAAACCGCTCGAAAGAGACTAGAGAATTTCAGAGGAAGGAGCAAACCGTTCGAAAGAGACCGGAGAATTTCAGAGGAAGGAACAAACCGCTCGAAAGAGACCAGAGAATTTCAGAAGAAGGAGCAAACCGCTCGAAAGAGACCAGAGAATTTCAGCAGAAGGAGCAAACCGCTCGAAAGAGACTAGAGAATTTCAGAAGAAGGAGCAAACCGCTCGAAAGTGACTAGAGAATTTCAAAAGAAGGAGCAAACCGCTCGAAAGAGACTAGAGGATTTCAGAAGAAGAAGCAAACCGCTCGAAAGAGACTAGAGAATTTCAGAAGAAGGAGCAAACCGCTCGAAAGAGACCAGAGAATTTCAGAAGAAGGAGCAAACCGCTCTAAAGAGACCGGGGAATTTCAGAAGAAGGAGCAAACCGCTCGAAAGAGACTAGTGAATTTCAGAAGAAGGAGCAAACCGCTCGAAAGAGACCAGAGGATCTCAGAAGAAGGAGCAAACCGCTC